ATCAAGCTCAGTAGATCAAGTATAGAGGGAAAAGGAAACATTGTGGAATGAAATAAAAATACTAAAACAGAAGGTCAGTGGAGAGTAAGTTGTCTGAAGGAATCAGTGAATATGATAGGCTAAGAGGGCATCCTTAGTTAGCCTAGCATAAAAATGAATATAGGTATCTATGATACGTAGACTTTATGAATTTAATCACAGTACTAGACTGGCAGCAAAGTCTCATCATTTTACAATTGAAATGGATAGATGTAAAGTCTAAATGCAATGTTAATCATTCTTCTGTCTTCATTCCAGTTCTTTTATTCTCTCTCCCTAATAGCATTTTTTTTTTTTTTTTACTAATTCTCTCACACTTTTGTCTTAGTGGTTTTGCCTTGTTAGATGTGAAATGATTTAAAGAAAAGAAAAGTGCTATTAAGAGATATGACAGCAAGGATTCAGCAGCAGCAAGAAAGAAAAAAAAAAAAAAAAGAAACCTCACTGAATGCAATCAGGTGCAACAAGCAACAGACAGTTAAGGCTTGAAGTTCTAGACCCAGGATTGTCCCATGAGGCCTAGTGTTGATTTGTGAATTTGATGACAGTAATTGTGAGATCAATTGCTGGGCTAGATTGTACAGACAGACTCAATGGAAGCAGGCAAAATGATATCCATAGACAAGATTCTAGATTAAATACAGGATTCAGTTTGAAATTCCTGAAGGTTACCCAGATCACAAACACCTGAAGAACAGATTAAACATTGTAAATAATAACAAACAGGAGGACAACTGTCCAAGTGCAAATAATGATTTCTCCACATCCCTGAAATTAGCATTCATTCATTTAGTTATAATTTTATCAGCTTTAGCACTTATAAAGCACAAAGTAATTTAACTACTACTCCAATTTAAAAGGGATATGCTTTTAGTTTTAATATTTGACAGTTGACACCATTGAATGTGAACATGTATTATTCTCTTGGTATTTAACCAAAATTTGATTCTAATGTTAAGATTTCACCACCCCACCCCTGTTGTCATCTATTTTGTTGACTAAACTTGCATCATTATTTTTCCTCTAAAATATAATTCCTAGAGTTTAAAATCTAAAATTAGGGTATTTGAAAATAGTTAGACATAAAAAAAAGAGGATCTAACAAAATATACTGAATTTTAATTTTAGTATCCATTTTGTTTTCAAGAGACCAATAATAATCATGAGTTTCTGTCTATATTTCTGAGATGAGGTATTATGTACACTATTTACATTATTCGGACTATTGTCCTCATCTTTGCCGCCATATTTATTACATTTTGGCTGTTGTACATTCCAGCCTTCTTCAGGTGGTTGGAATGTCAAACTGAACCTTTTATTTTGCTCACTGGGGTAGACTGTTCTACTTCCACATGCCATGTTTAATGGATGTCAGTTATCAGTTATCTCCTGTTAATTACCCTCTCCAAGTTCTCCACTGCCTTAACCGGGTATTGAATTCACACTGTTTGGGTCCTGTCACTGGATCTAACGCCTTTATCCACTGTGCCATGTAGCACAGTGGATAAAGGCAACAGGATCCAAAGAGTGAGAGTTCAATACCCGGTTAAGGCAGTGGAGAACTTGGAGAGTGGAATTAACAGGAGATAACTGATAACTGACATCCATTAAACATGGCACGTGGAACTAGCACTGAAGAAGGCTGGAGCGTACAACGGCCGAAACGTAACAAATATGGCGACAAAGATGAGGACAAAAGTCCGAATAATGTAAATAGTGTAATCGTGAGTTATTCAAATTTTACGAATCTTGATCATTTAAAATCTTTAAAAACAACGATGGAAAACTGTACGCATCACCAATAAGATTTTTTAAAAGTGTGCTAAGATTAATTTAATAATTTAATCATTAAAACCTTGAACGAATTCCTTATAGAAAAAATACAGTAGTAAACTAAACAAGAGGCATAAAAAAGGTGGTTTCGATAAGCAATTACTTTGAACTTGTGGCACAGTGGTAAATTTTAAGGTCACCTCGACTGCTCATACTTAAAGTTAGACTAGGTAACCCATAGCAATAAACCGTAAACAACAGATTTAATTAAAATCGGTAATAGAAATATTATTCCTTAACTATTTCTGTAAAATTGTAAATCAGATTTAAGATTTCATAGCGATCGGCAATTGTTAACCAGTAGTAATAATCCTTTCGACAACTTTTCGAGTTCCGTATTAAAAGAATAAGTGTCAATTCCTCAAATTATGAAACTTATCAATATTTTCGAATCAGACAAACATTTTGCTGATAAAAAATTAAAATGAACCTATTGACGACCTGAGTAAGTACTTTAATACTGCAAACAGTGGATTGAATTAATTTAATTACCATACAATGCATGTAAAAATAAATACTCATTTTTACCCGTCAGAACAAGAGTATTCCCTCTCGGTGTTATCTTTAAAATCATTTAGTTAGAAAATAGTTGAAATTCATGTACAATTTTATTAACATTCAAGAATTTTCAGAGCAGACGATTTTTGATGTAGGAGGTGTAGCCACTAAGAAAAGTTTCGTTGTCTAATTTTGTACTAGACACGTAGCAATTCAAATTATAAATTAAGAAGAATGTGTTTTTTCACTTTTCAGTAGTGCTACTGTAACAGCCTTTGTCTTGGAATGAAAAAAAAAAAATGCATGCTCTTTTAAACCCTTAATTAAAATTAAGCATACGGCAGGCAATTAGTGGTAACTAACAATATTTCAGAAGGAAAAAAAGAAAAAAAAAGTCATTTCTTTGATTTAGTAACACAGGCTAACTCAAAAAAAAATTTAAGTAATATTTCAGACCCTTTTTAAACACGTGACATTTACAGCTTTACACTGTTTAAATAAAATAGATAAAGTATTTTTGTGGAAAAGTGAAATCGCCATTTGCAAGAAAAAACAAAACAAAATGGTCATCGGATGGTGGTTGAGGTTTTAGTTTGAGGCAGATTAATAGTTTTTTTTTTTTTTTTTTTTAAGAAATCTGGAACAGTAATAGAACACTATTGCATTTAAAATGAGGTGTAATAATATCTCAATACTTGGATTTACCAAGACTCATTTTATGGAATACTCAATAAAAAAAATCTTTTTTTAAAGCTGCACCATCTGTATCTTGGGCGACTAGGATTTTTGCTCAGAAAAAGTCAAACTTTTTTTAGTAAGTTGAAGATTTTTAAATATTTGCTGAAAACTGTCAAGTCCAAGTGTGACAAACGAAACGCTCCAAAAAAAGTCACAATTAGTAACAGTTCCGAGTAGTACACCATTTTTTTTTTCACGGTATTATATTTATTTTAGTAGGCTTCTCTGTATGTAGAAGAGCAAGAAGACTAAGAGACAAACTTTCAGCATAAATTTGAGAAAAAAAAAAAAAATTACTTGGTCGCCCACTTTTGTGATGAAGATATGTCGCACCCATTTTTGAAAGGAGAGAGAAAGATTAATAGACCTTTTTAACCAGATGGCTACAACATTAAGTTGGTTTGAAAAGAAAAAAAAGACTTTTATGGGGATTTTTTTTATCAGTTTTTAAGCTAGAAAATAAATTTAAGTATTTTTTATGGATTGAAATATAATGGTTAAAAAAAAAAAAAAAAAAAAAAAAAAAAATCACCTTTAGGCAATTGCATTTTAATTTGCCAAAATGTTTAAAGAGAAAAAAAGAACTATTTTAAAAACTACTGATGACCCATCAATAAATGAAATGCTGTGAAAACAAAACTATTTGTGTTTTTAGAAAGTTTACTTTATATTCCAATCTATTTTGGAAAGAGTGTAAAATCAAAATACTCGTACTTGGATTTTACAAAAAGAAATGAAACACTGACAGCATGATCAGGATAAAGATTAAAGACAAAAAAAAACAAAAACAGAAGATGATGGGTTTGTACTTGTTATCATCAACACATCAGTTAGCGTCAATAACCAAGTAAAAATAGTCAATCAAAGCACTTAAAATTTGTCTAATTCTTTTTTAATACATTTTTCGTATGTTTTTAAACTCGGCTAGTGTCGTCTGTCTTGTAATGTTACCCAAAACATTTGTTTCAATTATTTTTTCGTAGAGTTTTTTTTTTTACCATAAAAAATAGAAATTAAAATTGAATTGATCCTTTTAGTTTAATTTTTCATTGAATAACCTTAAAAAATTTGAATGAGTCATTTAGATGGACATTATTTTTTTTGACTGGCATTTCTGTTGTTTAATCAAATATTTCATTACAGTAAAAATAATTTAATAATTAACTAATTAATTACTAATGTTAATAACCTAGGGAGCAGTCAAGGAAGAAAAAAAGATTCTTTCTTGGGAGTTAACAAGATAGAACTTTCATTATAAAGTTTAAATTACTTTTTTTGCAATTGTAATTAGAATAAAAATGGCTCATGAGAGGTTACTAAGAGGTAAAACAACATTAGGTTCATTTTTTTCTGACTAAAAAAAAAAAAAAAAAAAAAAAGAGCATATATTGCGTAGACTGCAGACAAAGCGAGAAAGAAAACACAAGGCACGCATCAAATGCAATCCATCTAATTAAAAAATAGCAAATGCCACAATTTATGCCAAATTTCTTGTCACTAACAATGAAAGACAAATTAACTGACAGTAATAGTGAAGTGTAGTGCACATCCAAAAATTCTTAGTCGATGCTTTAGCAATTTGAACAGACTTGAATTGGACACGACACTAAATTATATACGCTACATTTACATACTGATGTATGACATCAGTGGCCTTCCATTTGAACACTTAAGCTACTAACAACGTATTAAGAAAATAAATTTTTAGATAATTTACGATTTGATAAAATTTAAAAATGAAGTTTTGTTCGGTGATGAATGAGAAGGATACTCGACTGCCATATTTCACTTTTATTACAACATACAAATTATTTTTTTATATGGCATTTATTGTCATGTCTGTAAAACGTTATGTATTTTTATGTATGTATGTATGTATGCTAAATACGTACTGCTTTGGCACAATCCAACTCATTTTTGGTAGCATCGTAAATACTTTCAAGATCTTCGTATTGTTGTTGTAGGTGCTGCTTCTCTTCAAGTACTTCCAGGCCGTATTGGGCTGCCTGTAATTTTTGTTGTGTAGTTTCGGCTAATTCGGCACTCAGCCTCTCGACTTCGCCCTTCAGGTCATCGGCGCTGAGGTTGGCGAGGTTTAAAATAGGATGATGATGCAGATGGGTTGCCGTCGAACCACCGACATTGTTAATATTATCCCTGGCGTCTGCTTCAGACATCCTGATTCAAAGAAAGGGAGACTCCCCCGTCCGGAAAAGTAATAAGAACTTTTAACAAAAACGTTGTTAACGCGAAATATTTATAATAGCGAGAGCGCTTTTCTTCTTTTTCAGTTTTAAATCCCCCCCAAAATATTTGGGGAGCTTGTTTCGGGGTTTAATTTTGTTTTGTTTGTTCTTAAAGCTCAAAACTACTGACCGACATCAGCCAGTCATCGCCATTATGTTCGCCATGTTTAATTTATGCAGTTATGTGAAGGAGAAATGTTGTTCACGTGACACGATGGAAAGTAAAGGCGGAGGGAGACAATAGGTAAAATAAATAAAGATCGTGAGAGTGGGGGTGGAAAAAAAAAAGAAGAATGTTAGGAAAAATGTCCTTAGAGAAAGTATGGGGGAACTAAGAAGGAGAGTGAGATCAGATTTTAACCGAAAAAGGAGGAGTAAGCAACAGATTTAAACAAAAAGAACGAAGGAGGAGGAGAAGAAAGTAGCGTAGAAAAGAAGAGGAAAGAAAGAAAGCGGTCAAAGGAGAGTGAAAAAATATTGTGAAAGAAAGGGCGTGCAAAAGCGTCACGTCACACAGAAATGTAAAAAAAAAAAGAGTAAGTCATTACGAAACGTAAAAAAAAAAAAGAAAAAGCCATAGGAGTTGATGCAATTTTTAAAGAGTAAAAAACAAAATAGAGTATTCAATTAAATCATACACATTTTCTCAATCTTTTTTTAATGAGAAGATGAGTTTCTGTTTTTTTTTTTTTATTATTTTTTAAGGTCATTTTGGGGTACCGTAATGTGGCCTTGTGTCAGAATTTAATCTTTCTTCATAAGAGTTATGAAGGTGAATAAGAGTAGGTATTTAAAATTTAAAGATAGCAATTTGAATGAAGGAGAGAAAAGTAAAGAATATCTGGAAGAAGAAAAGCGAGATTGCATGAATGAAAGGGAAGTAATTTAGATGAAGAGAGGTTTGACTGAGAAGGAATAAATTGCAGAAAAACAGGTATTTAAGGAGGACGAATGAATGAAAAATTGTATGGTACAAACTTGCCCAGTTTTACTTTTATTTCATTCATCTTGGCCAACTTTTAAAACTGAAGGCAAAAAAAAAAAAAAAAACTACATGTGCACAGAAAAGTGGGAAACAGTAGTTTAAGTAGCTATGATGAATATGAAAAAAAAACTTTTATGGAATTTAGTAGTGATTTTTATTGCAAACCCTGGTAAGTAAATAAATAAAAAATAATAATACAAAATTTTAAAAATCGAAAACCAAATTGTGCGAACTATTTTTGTAGTTGTTGTGGTCTCTCTCTTATTGGAATTGAATACTGAAGAAAGGATTCATTTATGATTTAAACGCGGAAAGTTTTTATTGCTAATTAATTAAAGTGCGAGATAACGAATGAAATTGTATGTGTTGTCATTTGTTATGTCCACTTGTATTTTGTTTTCTATCAACGATGACAACTATTTTTTTCCAATGATGTGATGTTTCCTAAAGTTGAAAAATGCAGTGGAAGTATATAGTATAAATTTTGTTTGTTCATCGATGTTATTATTACAGTTGAGTTAATTGTTAATTTTAGTTGTTGATCTAATATGGAATCTTTCGAACGGACGAATCAAGCGTGTAAAACCCAAGTTAATGAATGAATGTTTTGTTCAAAAAAGCATGTCACAGTATGACACTTCTTACAGTACACTAACAGTAACACTTATTATTATTATTATTAGCAAAGTAATTGTTAAAGAACAAACAAAAATATTTTCGAGCTAATTGTTCAATTTGGATGATTATAATTTTCAATTGTTTTTATTTTTAAAAAATAGGCTATATCAGCTTTGTTGCCCTTTTGCTTTTTTAACCATCCTCCAATCCTCCATAGAAATAAATTTTCAGGAAAATAACCACAAACGCAGCTAGACAATAACTTTTTATATGTAAAAAAAAAACAAAAACAAATGTGTTCGACAAGGATTTACTAAGTTTACGGGCGATATGGAGTTCGTTATTGTTGAATTTGAATATTTACGTCGGTTGATGATATGAATGTTATGTTCGGCGAGTTGAAATTATGGATATTATTTTTGTTACACAGTGTAAAAACTTAAGGGTTACCGTTACACTGGCAATTTATCGTCTTGACAAGAGGTTCAGATTTTTTTACTGGTAATTGTGCACTTTCGTAGAGTATGTAACCATTACTTACTTTTTTTTACATACTAGAACTAGTAACTGAAAATATGAATTTCGTTTTCATTTTTGAATAAATCTAACAATTTTGTGAACTGCTTGAGTAGTAACTTTCGTAAAAAAGTCAGATTTTCTAACTATTTTTTGATCTTCTATTTCCATTATTGCTTAAAGTTGCTTTGAAAAGCATCATAAATCATCCTCTATTCATTGGAATCAATTGAATGAAGGTAAAGATGTCCAATGCATACTAACTTCCTTCTGATATTCTCACAAAAATGGTGCAACGTCAAATTTTGTTTTTGTATTATACTTATACTTCAATGTCCATGAATGAAATATGCAAATTGATTCTCCTTGACATGGAAAGTAGACAAATAGCCTAAAAGTAAAATATTTGTCCATCCATCCATTGTATTTGTCATTCATTGGTGTTTTAGTAAGATCCTTATGAATATGTGGTATTATGGTATGTGTTGGATTGAATGGCGATGAATGAGTTCTTGTGGTGTATGAGTAAATTGTAATAGATTAGCTAGATGTTGGATAGTCAGTGACGACCAGCCTTTTCCTACTCCCCACTTTGGCCTTGTGCCATATCAGATGTAATATTTCAAAATAACAGAACCTTAAATAGAAAAATTGAATTAACCATAATAAAAATAGAAAAAATACTTCATGGCCTTAAACAATATTTTAAGAAATTAGTAGGCAAAAATAGATTTTGTTAAATTTCAGAATTTGTCTCATTTTCCAAATTGTAACATAAATTGAATAGGAAATTGTTTAATACAGAAATTGCTAACTTATTCCATCAAAATATTCTAACTTGGCAGTAAAATAAAGAAATTTTAATTTCAAAGAACTGATAAATTCATTGAAAACTTCTTTAATTTTACTGTGGAGAAGCTTTTGTTTCTGAATGATAAACAAAATAGACGGAGTCTGTCTTTCTTTAATTATGAAACTATAAGAAAAAGTATTTCTTTCTATTTACGAAACTGGTGGATATTTGAGTTTTGAATATATTTCAAGATGGTTTGTATCTATTGTTTTAGCAACTTAGAAGCTGTTTCACTAGATGCTTCAAATGTTTCTGTTTGAATTTCTGGAATGAGGAGTAATCATTATTTACACTTGGACTCTTGTCTGATTATAAATAATGACTTCCATTGTTGATAGTATATCTAATGTTTTGCTTCTCATCCACATACACTAATTATGTAGATCTGCAATTCTGTAAAAATGTAATTAATTACAAGTGATATGAAAGAATGGATCAATTTTATACTGATGAACATAGTTAATGCATGCATGTACTCTTTAAGGTTTTAAATGAAAGTCATTATTTAGCTTATTTTTGTTTCTAGCTACTCACTCTTAAATGACTTGAATTGATAAACTTAGGTACATCCATGAGATCGCTAAAAAAGAGTGTAGCATGATGAAAAAGACGTCAAACTTGACGAAAACAAAATTTTATCGTCTAAATGTTCAAGTTATTATTAAGAGGAAAGATCAAAGTATTTTGGGGGTGTTTTTTTTTTTTACATTTTTTAATCGTTCCTAGCACGTCCGAAACTTTCGTTAAAAATCTTCTTTTTTTTTTTTTTGAGTCAGCAAAATTGACAGATAATTGATCATGGAAACCCTTTTTTTCCATTTTATAAAAAAAATGAAAATCTCATTTTGAAATTCTTTTAAAAATCAATTATCATTTTTTCAAAACTTATTTTAAGAAAATCAGAAATTATAATGTTTATTTAAAATATTTTGAACCAAGCTTAACAGCTTCTGTGCCAAAAAGATGTAGTTTGAAAATAAAACAAAGCAGGTCATAACCTTTCGCATCACTTGACAGGTGTTGAATGACATATTGACAGATTACGTGAGGATACTTTGTTCTACGGAAGGAGAAAAGTGAAGTTATTTAGATTTAAGTGAACAAATTATTTACCTCGTTTTTTTTTTTTTTAAGGAAAACTTTCAGCGCTTTAATTTGATTTTTATTTTTTTTGTACTTAGCTTTCACCTTTATGTTCACGATGCTTTATGGAAAATATATTATAAAGAAATTGAAATAAGACTGTTAAGAGTGAGATTAAATTTCATCAGAAAGGTTTCTAATTAATGTATAGGTACCTTTCTTATGAAATTTTATCAGAAGTGTATATAAAATACTATAATTTTATGTACATTTATTATATTTTATTGTGTTATTTGTATTTCCATTCATTTTATTATTAATTTTGATATTTCATTTATGGAAAAATGTCATAACTGAGATTAATATAAAAATAAGATCATATAAATTTCATAAGATGATACTGATACTTGTAGGTACCCTTCTCAGTTGAAATTGAAAAATCAAATTAACTTCTCCACACGTGTTTCACAAAAGTAAAGGCCTTAACAGCAGAGGACAATGCTTAACTCAAATAACACAACTTAATTGTATTCTGGTTGGTCTTCCGTACTTTATAATTACAGCCCGATTATAAACACAAAATTACATTTCTTAATTACTGCAGATCTTCTGATTAGTCAAAATGATACAATTTACAACATGCTAAAAAAAAGATCTATCTTATAAGGACACTTATGAAAGTGGATCTGGCTTTTAACTAATTTCATAATATTTTAACAACTTAAATGTAAAAATCTATTATAATTAAAGAAATAACAAATAATTGTATTAAAAATTTATTTTTCATCAAAAAAATTTTTTGCTTTCAGAAAATGTGTCCATATTCATAAAAACAACTAAAAGCAAATAAAAGCATTTGAAATTAAATAATATCTT